GCTAACTGCAAGGGTAACTGGGAAGAACAGTCATATAAGATGGCTTAGAATTTATACTGTGTTAAGTTTCTTCATAAATCCCTAGTGACATGAAAAATTAATAATCTTAGGAGAACTCTACTGTGCCTTGTTTTAAAACACTTTTAATTGATTTTGGAGCTAGGGACTCACCTTAAAAGATATCAGTAGTAGGCAGCAGCAGAGTGAAGAATTTGTCCATGTGGACCCTACAGGACATCTAGTGCATAAGGCCATTCCACTAAGCCCAGGAGATATAGCAACTCTACCTAATACATAGAAATAAACCCAGGGAGGCAGTCAAAATGAGAAGACAAAGAAACATATCCCAAATTAAAGAACAGAACAAAGCTCCAGAAGAAAAACCTAAACAAAATAAGGACAAGGAATCTGCCTGACATACAGTTCAAAACATTGACTCTAAGGATGCTGAATGAACTTAGGGGAAGAGTAAATGAAGTTAGTGATAACTTCAACAAAAAGATAGGAAACATAAAAGCAGAGATAGAAAACATAAAAAAAAAGAACTAGTAAGAAATGAATAATGCATTAAATGAAATGAAGAATACACTACAAGGAATAAATAGTGGAGTAGATGAAGCAGAGGAACAAATCAGAGATTTGGAAGATAAGGAAGCAGAAAACACACAAACAGAACAGGAAAAAATAAAAAAAAAGAATCCAAAAAGTGAGGGCAGTATAAGGAGACTCTGGAATAACTTCAAGCACACCAACATATCTATCATGAAATGCCAAAAGGAGAAGGGAGAGGGCAAGGAATCAAATTCTTATGTGAAAAAATAATGATGAAAAACTTCCCTAATCTGAGGAAGGAAATGGATATACAAGTCCAGGAAGCACAGAGAATCCCAAACAAGATAAATCCAATGAGGCCCACACCAAAACACATCATAATTAAAATACCAAAAATTAAAAACAAAGAAAATCTTAAAAGCAGCAAGAGAAAAGCAGTTAGTTACTAGGGAGATCCCATAAGCCTGTCAGCTGATTTCTCAACAGAAACTTTGCAGGGATTGGCAAGAAATAATCAAAGTGATGAAAAAGCAAGGACCTATGATCAAGGTTCCTCTTCCCAGCAAAGCTATCATTTAAAATCAAAGGACAAAAAGCTTCCCAGACAAGAAAATGCTAAAGGAGTTCATCACTACCAAACTAGTATTTAACAAGAAATGTTAAAGGGTATTCCTTAAAAAGAAGAAAAATAATTAAAAATATGAATAATAAATTGGCAATAAATACATACGTATGAACTATTATTTTAAATGAAAATGGATTAAATGCTCCAATCAAAAGACATATGGCCCTGGCTGCTGTGGCTCAGTGGATTGAATGCCAGCCTGTGAACCTAAAGTTCGCTGGTTTGATTCCTTGTCAGGGCACATACCTGGGTTGTAGACCAGATCCCTGGTTGGGGGTGTGTGAGAGGCAAACAATCAATGTTTCTCTCACACATTGATGATTCTCTACAATTCTTTCTCCCTCCCTTCTCCTCTCTCTAAAAATAAATAAAATTTTAAAAATATGGAGGATGAATGGATAAGAAAATAAGACCCTTACATATGCTCTCTCCAAGAGTCTCACTTTACATCAAAAATGCCCACACACTGAAAGTAAAGGCATGGTAAGAGATATTTCATGAAAATAGAAACAAGCAAACAAACAAAAAAGCTGGGGTTGCAATATTTATACCAGACAAAATAACTTTAAAACAAAAGGTGCATAACAAGAGACAAAGGAGGACGCTGCAAGTCCACTTCCGTGTATTTATCCAAAGAAACCCAAAACATCCAGTTAAAAAAAAAAATACATCCGTATGTTCATTGCAGCATCATTTACAATAATTAAGATATGGAAGCAACCTATATCTATAGACTAATAAAGTGGAACATAAGTGCAACTGTGACTCCAGCATAAAAAAAGAATGAAATATTGCCATTTGCAACAACATGGATGAGCCTAGAGGATACTGTGCTGAGTGAAGTAAGTCACACAGAGGAAGACAAATACCATATGATTTCACTTATATGTGAAATCTAAAAAACAAAATAAACAGACAAGTGGAATAGAAACAGGCTCATAGGTACAGAGAATATTTTGAAGGTTGCAGGATGGGAGAGGGGTTGGGAAAATGTGTGAAAAAGGTGAAAGAATTAAGAAGTACAAATTGGTAGTTACAGAACATTCAAGGGGATGTAAAGTATAACATAGGGAATATAACCAGTAATATTGTAGTAACTATGTATCATGTCAGACGGGTACAGATTTATTGGGGTGGTCACTTAATAAGTTATATAATACTAATCACTGGGTTGTACACCTGAAATTAAAATAATATTATATGTCAGCTGTAATTAAAAAATAAAAAATTATTTAAAGTTAAAAAAGAGCATTTCTACATTTCAGTAATAAAATATTACAAACTTTTAAAAATTCAATTCACAATGGCATCAAAATCTTTAAAATACTCGTAAATTAATCTAATAAGCCTCTTTTATAGAGAAAAGCATAAAATAAGCATATTCATTTTAAAATTCTGTGGTATTAATTCTGTGATGAATAAATTGAACATTTGCATACTAGAAACTGGTAAATAAACATACCTTTATAAGAGATCTTAGTATATTACATATCAGTGGGAAAAGAATGAATGTTTTTGGCTGCGAATAACAAAATCCAACTGTTAAAATGATTAAACAATGAGAATAATTATCTCACAAAACCAAATATTTTGAGGTAAGGCTCAGAGTCATCATTAAAAATTCAGGTTCTGTTGTGTCTTCCTCAGGATATCAGTGAACTAGCTCTCCTCATTATCACAAAATGCTCAAAATGTCACAAACATACATCAAGAGGCTTAAAAAGGAGCTTGTTTATTCATCATGTATCCTTCTATAAGAGCAAAAGGAAATCTTTCCTAGAGTCACCTTCAGCAAACCTCCCTTTTCCTCTCTTTGCCTAGACCTGCTAAACCGATCACTAAGTGGGAAAATGAGAATACCGATACAGTCTGAGACAAATCAGAACTTGCCTAAATCATGTGGGAAAAGAGTAGACTCAGAACAAAACTGGTGTTCTGCCAAAATGAGAAAAAGAAAAATGACTATTGGATAAGTAATCTACAGTACAATGGTATATTTTATAAATGGTGTGGGGAAAACAGGCTATCCATATGGGAGAACAGAAAATCAGATCCTAATAATATCATAAACAAAAATAAGTCCCAGGTGTATCGAAAATTCAAATGCAAAAGTAAACATTAACTCTCAGTAGAGAAAACAGAACTACATTTAGAAATTATAGGTAAAAGAGGATTTCTAATATAAGATAAATAAGTACAAACCATAAAGAATAATATTAATTAATTAGACTACATCAAGATTTAAAACTATTATACAATAAAATATACAGAAATTGAAGTTAAAAGACAAACCATAGTCTAGGAGAAGTAGCTGCAGGACGTAAAACAGTTTCCACTTACCCAACAGAGAAAAAAAATAGGCAAAGTAAAAGAATAAGCAATTGATAGAAGAGAAAGAACAACTAGCCAGTAAATATTATAAAAGATGCTCAATTTAATAGTAGTCTGAAAACTGCAAATTTATACAGAAATAGTATTGAACCACTATAAAAATGTTTAAGTTGGATAATCCTTAAATTGGATAAGCTGGACACGATGCTGGAAAACAACTGTCATCTATTCCTAATGGAAAGGTCAACTAGTTCAACTTCTTTGGTGATCTATTTGGTGATATTCAGTAAACTCAACAGCATGTATAGTCAACAATCTAACAATCCTTTCCAAGGTATATATATCCTAGAGGACTCTTTCACGTGTGTTTCCAAAGGCCTGTTCTGGGATATTCATCACATTCCTTCTAATCACACACACTCAACACACACACAAGTATGGAACAGCCTAACTATCGATATGGATGGAATAAACTGTTGTATATCTATATAATCAAATAGTATGGTATAGTTTAAATTGATGAACTAGATCTGTACATGTCAATTTGGACTATCTTAAAAATAGAATGTTGAAACTCTGTTCAGCAGAGGATATAATCCCTGAATAAAAACTCCCCTAATTATATACTGAATACTTATAACTTCAGATGCAATAAACCTATTATTCTAAAATATTAAAAAAATACAATGCTGAAAAAGCAGGTTGTTTAGGGATATTGATAGTATGATGTCATGTACATAAAAAGTAAAACCCATATCAATAATCTCTATTATTTATGGAAAAATAAATATTTAATAAAAATGAAGAAACAAGTAATCCAGAATCAGAGAATGCCAGAGAAGGGAATAGTATCAGAGATTCATCAACTTTATTTATCTCTAGTTCTATTTCTTTAATGAAAAAGGACATAAAATATTGAAAACTAGAAAATTATATTGAGTCTATACGGAGAATACATAGATACTTGTCATATTACTTTAAGTTTGAAATACTTTAAAATTCTTAAAAATACATCTTTTTACAGATGCATTTACAGAAAATATTTCATCAATCATGGAATAGTCCAACCCCACGTACAAATTTTGCCATAAAGCTACAAATGGAGTGTGCTTCCCTTCATCTTTTACTAAGCATATTTTAAGGCACAAACTATTCTACAGGCAAAGTAGTACGAATTACATAAAGATGCCATGAAGATCAAGAAAGGTCCAAGTGGTATATAATTGAAAAGAGGTTTTCAAAGGTTAGTCAAATGCTCAAAAACCATCCTTAGCATTGAGTGAGAAGCCAAAGATGTCACTGTCAAAATTTTTTTAAAAAGGTATGGAAAAAGTTTCTATTTAAATTTTAATTTGGGGCACAAGGAGAATGTGATATAGGGCATATAACAACAATATAATATATTACTGAAACCACAATAAATATCATTGTTTTCCTCTGGAAGTGAAAATGTTTATTATTAGTATCCCAAGAGACTCTCATAGCAACATACCTGGAGAAGGAGCCTTTCAAAGGCCAGAAAGTTGTCCCACTTGGCAGTCTGCGGGTGTTTCAGAGTTTGAACAGTGGCCAGTCCAAGCTGCAGGAGTCCACAGTGATTCGCTAGAGCCTTGAGGTTGTTCTTGAAGAGCTGAATATAGGACATGAGCTGCACTGGCGTGACTCTCCCTGGAGAAACATAATAATTTACCAGTGAACCGTCTTCTGGGAGTGGTAAAAATAATGGGAATATGCCACTAATAATATTAACTGCCTTATATTGGCACAGGACTTCAGAGTGGACTGCAAGCTTTGCTAAGCTATTGTGATTCTTACAACAACATGGTGACAACAGTGAAATTGAAATTATGACCTGCAAATTGCAAGTGAGGAAACAGATGTTAAGTGATCTGGCCAAGGTCATATTGCTAGTAGAATTCATTTTCTAATTCTGCAATACCCCGTAAATAAGTTCTCAAACTAAGTTGTACAAATAAATTGTTGAGCTCAACATGAAGTGCCTCTCCAAGACATGATTTAGCAAACTAAAAGGCCAAAAGACAAGATTTGTAGTTGTATATGTATATAAAATAAAAGGAGAAACCTGCTATGACTATAGCTAAAACTTTACCACTGGTATCAGTGGGTTCATGACAATAAAATAATAAAAGCTTGCTGTTACACCAGACAAAAATGTATGGAAAACCAGGTGGCAAAAACGCTGGAAGGTAAGATATCAGAACAAAGACTTTGATATCAGTTCATGTAGCACATGTGCTACAACGATCGCCTAGATTGAACCCCAAAATCCCACACCATAAAAAACTAGAGCTTGTACAAAAACATAAACAACAAAAAATGTTTAAGAGTCACTCCTTCAGAGCCTCTAAATTTCACTTTTGCCTATAGCAGTCCTTCAGCTGAGTCACTTTTCACTCTCCAACCCGTCGAATTTCATTCCTGCCATTTATCAGCGCTATGGACAAAACTCCTGACCACCACATACTCTCCCTCTTCAGCAAGAGGAAGACAATGGGGCCAAACATAGGTGCAAATCAAGTAAATCTTTCCTACACATCTTACCCGTGCCATGTTTATGGGTTGCTCTCTGATACCTGAAATCCAAGTTTGTTTGTTATGTCAAGGTTTGTTAATACGTGGCAATGAAACCACCTGTCTTTACTTAGCTCTTCACAGTTTCTATGCACAGTGCAACCAAGCCCTCCTCTGATTCTCATAGCAACTCTATGAGGTAGCCAACAAGGCATGTGCTGCATTGCTTAGTCCCAGCTGAGGCACTGCGAGTTCAGTGTTTCACACAGTGCTAAACGGCAAATATCAATTAATAAATGGTTTTTGCTACAGATCATAATACACCAAAAAATAAAGACCTTGACAGAAGAAACTTAAAAGCCTGTGACATATTCTTTTTTTCATTATATTTTTGAAAGATTAAGAATTTTGAAGCTCCTTCTTACCAGTTTCTCAGTGTGAGCATCTAAATAATAATAATAGCAGAAATGATAAGTAGGGGAGTTGAGTTCCACAAGTTTTTTTGGTTGCTTGGTAGAGCATGAGCTCATTCCCGATTCTCAAAGCACCAAGCTAATGAGTTGCTTGCTCCAGGACTAATAGAGAGGAGCCTCATGAACTCTTTTGAGTCACATTTCTTAAGATATAATTTTCACACAAAAAGGTTCAAATTTAACATCACAGTGAGCTCCATTTATTTGTTTATGTAGTTCCTGGACACATAAGAGTTTTGCCTATCATAAAACAATTATAAAAATAAGTACTTAGTCATTATTGTGATAAGTACTGCTAAGGAAAAATACAAAATGTCTTGAAAGTATGTCTCTGTAGGATACGGAACTGCCTCTCTCTCCAATGCTATCTCCTCAGCTGGAGGAAGAGGAATTAAACAGGCCCAGTGTACATACAATCTATTCATAATATAATTGTCTTTTAGAGGCTGCAAGAAATAGATATCACAGAGAAAATCGTCAGAGGGTCTGTTTAGAGTTCAATTTTAATCATCATATGCTCAATTTAAAGAGTGTCTTTGATTCAAAAATATAGTTGAACTTTTTATCCAGTTAGCATTTCCTAGCTCTGACTCAGACCCAGTAACTATATTTACATAATGTCACCTTCTCACATAAGGTATGTGATCCAAACAAACAATGGATATATTTCATAAAGGAAATGCCAACAGAACACTACATTGTGAATTTAGCAATTATTCACCCTTGCTGCTTTATTTTGTTCCCCTCTATATATCCTTTTTCTTACACACCAAAGCCACTAGTACTTCATAAGATATATCATGAAAGCATAATTTTTGGTAAAAATCCATAACATGCTAATTAGAATTTAGCAAAGGAATACTCCACACAATGTTTTAAAATATAGGCTAATTACACTTAGAAAATTTTAAACTTAACTGCAACCTTACACAAAACAAGTCTAAATCAACTAAAAGACTTCCCAAAAATGCTACAGTGAGATTAACACCTTGAGAAAGCTTCTCAGATTTAATATTAACTAAAACAGTGAGCAACTAGGACCAAGTGTTGAAAAAGCCATAGACAGTACATTTATTCATATCTCACATTACCAAAAAACCCCAAAACACTTGTCAGGCAGATCTAAATGGTGATTTTAAAATGTCAACCCAGAAAGCTTTGCAAAACATTTTTAAAGCTATAAAAACAAGGGTTATTTTGTATCAAGACTGAATAATACATAGCAACTTTTTAAAAAATGACAATTTGAAATTTGAAAAATGGCTTCAAGTAAGAAAAGCTATTAGGCTTTCTTTTACTTCTTAATATAGTTTGTAAGAAAGAAAAACAGACTTCTGATTTCAATTCAGCCAGGAGAAAAACATAAAACTTTATCAACCATCAGCTCTCTCTATATTTTAAAACTCTTATTTAAATGTACTTATCTCTTGGGGGAAAAGGACAGATTTGGAAAATAAAAGGATTTAATATTTTAATAGTCTGATTCTTTAAAAATTGAATTTAATTGAGTTAAATGAATTAAATGCATAATGGAGCTTATTTATCTATTTACTACATACACTCCATAAATTATAACTCAACTTGTTTTGTGACTTGTAAAAATATATTTAAAATACCTACACACAGATGATCCTTTGTTGATATTCTTAAAGAGTATTCAGTGCCAGTTTTGATTCAATCATAAAACTGTGTTTTAATGGTAGAAAGCAATAACCATCAGAAATTTTGTCTAGCCCTGGCTGGTGTGGCTCAGTGGACTGAGTGTCGGCCTGCAAACCAAAGGGCCATGGGTTCGATTCCCAGCCAGTATACACGTCTGGGTTGGTGGCCAGTCCCCAGTGGGGGAGCGCTAAAGAGGCAATTATACATTAATGTTTTTGTCCCTCTCTTTCTCCCTCCTTTCTCTAAAAAAAAAAAAAAAAAAAAAGAGAGAGAGAGAGAGAAATTTTGTCTAAAATAGCATACTTAGTATTATATAATATTTTTTAAAACTCTTGGTATAGGAAATAATGTTACTGCATATTTTTATTCATTTTCATGAAAACCCAGTACGTGAAATTTAAATAAGCAAACTTATGTATTTTAAGACTTGCTTTCCCAGAAATCAGCATTTCATTTATCTCCTTCTCAATCATTTTTCTAACATAATAAAGGCAAAGCATATTAAAATATATTTAGCTATGTTGTTTGAATATATTTGGCTAAACAAGAACATGTTTGGCTAAAATTCTGGTTTACTGACTCACAGTTGGCAAACAGGAATAATTTCAATATTACGAAAAAGTTACATCTATTCATTTGTTATTTTTTCCTCATTAATTTAACATTTTGTGCCACCAAGTACCAGCAGAGGACTGGAAATTAAATGAACACAGCTGAACAGTGCAAGTCACTGAACAACTGAGCATCCTCAGTTCTTCCCTTAGCTCTGCTGGCCATGTGTCCTATCTCCAAATAGCTTCCTGTTTGGTTCTACTTGGTCTTCAGTGCATTTTTGCTTTTGGCTCCATAACTAAACAACCTCAAAACCTCCTTTACACTTTTTCCAGTGAGCTACCATCAACTCATTTTTGTTCACATATATGCTATAACGTTTTGTTACTTATAGTAATTTAGCATATATTTTTAACTGTGCTAGTATTTTTATCAAGACTCTTATTGGTTTTGTTAGTACTCTGATTAGAAGTTTGCATAGATTTTGAATGGGCTTCTGCTAATGATTTTTTATTTTTTATCATGGGCCCTGATAATTCAATACATGACTGTGCAAAGCAAGTTTTCCAGGGATACATATATAAGATAGCAAAAATGTCCATCTAATATATAGGCAAAGGAGGCAACTCTATTAAAATTAAACTACTGGTTGGTAGACAGCACCATCAGAGAAATTTTCAAATATTAATTTAACAGTTTACATGAGAGCCAGAATCTTGCATATGAAAAATGGTTTAGGAGTTTTGTAAGTAATGTACAAAAGGCTCAAAGGGTAGACTGAGTGTATCACATAGGTTTATAGCCTCTCTTCATTCTGTCAGAATGACAGAAAGGAACTAAAAAGATAGGAACACACAACCACAAAGACATGGTGACATCATCCAGAAACAGACAAAAGATTTAAAGCAGTTTTGCCCCCATCTGTTGGTTGTGTTTGCAACATACATTACGTACTTAAACTTTCTTTTTTGTTCTGTCAACTACAGAAGGCATCTATGCCTTTTCATGTTCTAAGAAGAGGATATTAACCTCCCCTTCTCTTTACTTCTTATTTCCCCTTTTGATCTTTCAAGTCATCATTTGTTTTATTTTTATCTGGTCAGAATTGATAGCATTTATATTTGGTTCTCTAACTACAATTCAGTCTTACGTGCTTCTTTATAGTTTGATTTGGGAGTTCAAAATCAATCAGTAGTGTTTGCGAAATTGTGAATTATAATAATGTGCTATGATTACATTTCCTTATGATATAATACACTTTGTTTCTAGAATGTTCACTGGATTTCTTTTGGGGAGGGGGCATTACGTGCCTTAATCAAAGATCTAAAATATTCTAATCTCAAATATACCCTCTTATCTTTGAAGGCTGTGGTTTGTTAGTTTCTTTTTCTTTCTGAATACTTTACTACCAAGCCCCTTCACGCTTCAGGTCCTTCCTGAGTGGATGCT